GCGAAGAAGTGAGGTCAAGAGGAGGAGAAGGTGACCATTCATGCTTTCACCCCACTGCAGTTGTATGCGAAGGCGAGGAAGAAAGGGCAGACGACTTTGGCCCTTGAAATTCAGAAGTGAACCAACTCAGAGCTCTTACTTTTCCGGGCATTTTAGACTCACGTAATCATGTAATTACCAGGACAACATGAGAGGAAATGAGTATTATTCCCATATGATGTAACAGACAACTGAGGCTCAGAGAGGAGTACTGATGGCCCACACCACACTGCTGGGGCCTGTGCTACCCGAAGGACTTAAGCACAGAGGTGGCTGACTGCAGGACCAGCTCTCGCTTGATCACTCCAGCCCTTCTCAAAAAGAACTGAAAGAACTTGACAGCATCACTGTAGGAAAGGAGACAAGGAATCTGAACTCCGTAAATAGAACTCCTCAGAGGAGGAAAAGACCCCGTGAAGAATGGGGTCAAGGGAATTATAGCTAGGAAAAATGAACAGATGTGCTTTCTTTCTTCCACAGACATTTGAGTGCTTAATCTATACCAGCTCTCTCCTAAACGCTGAGGACACAAAAGTGAGCAAGAAAAACACAGTCCTTAACTTCATAAGGTTTACATCTAGACCAGGATGACTAATTAATGACATTCACCCCATCACTTCCCCTTCCTGCATCCCTGACAGACATCACTAATCAATCCTAGCCTCCTTTTTACTGATCCTCAATTCCTCAAATTCCTGTTCAAGTGGCTGTCACCAATCAGTTGAGGGCAGGCATGTGGGATGAATACTCTGCTGTCCCTGATTTGGACTTTTGAGTTTAGACAAGGATTTTCTAAGTACCTACTACATGTCAAACACACTGGGAATTTGTGAAGTGTGAGGTCCTCGAGTCATAGATGAGGAGACTGATGTCCAGAGAGGACCAAGCTAACAGGACTCTGTAATGACCCGGGTCTGTTGTATGGAGCCCGTTCATCAGTGCTCAGAGTACAGGAGCAGGAGTTTGCAAAGCAGGTCAGAGATCTGCTGGGGAGAATCGCTACACTACTGGATGCCTGAGGGCCACAGCCTCCTGTGCCAGGCTGGGCTTCCTCCCCCTGTCCAGCCTCTGCCCTGAGCTCCTGCTTCTCTGGTCCTGCACTCCCCTGAGCATCTTCAGGAAGCAGGGCATGAGAAGGAACCTGCAGGTTCCCTTCCTGCCTCGTCCACTCAACATGGAGGAGAGGAGGCAGGAGGGCCGTTGATGGACCCGGGCCGTAGGCATGCCCAGTCATGCAGCCAGGCTCTTGGTCAAGCCTCAGCATCGTCCAGCATCCACCATCCCTGAGCAATGGCTCCCAAACTGTGCTGCTCATTAGGATCCCCTTCAAAGCTTCGAAAACTCCCGCTGCCCGGCCCCATCCCAGGGCAATTACATCAGAACTTCATGAGACTCTGCATCACTGTTTTTAAATCTCCCCGAGTGATTCCAGCATGCAGCCAAGTTTTGAGACCGCTGTCCCAGACTGTCCTGCTCCCGCCACCTCCCCTTCGAGGGCCCTGGGAAGACAGAGCTGCCGGCAACTTGTTCAGAGTCAAGTCAGCTCTGTGAGGTGACGGCCGAGGCAAAGACAGGCCACCAGCCTGCCAGCTGCTCACCCTCCAAACCCCAACCCCTGCCGGGCTGAGTGCCTAGCCATGCCAGGCCTGCTCCCCAAGGCGCCCCGTCCTCCCAATAAAAACAGGCGGCCAGAGTTCAGGGCCCGCTGGCGTTCTCCCGGTAAGCACCTTTTGTTCCGGGCTCAGAGCTGTTAATTAAAGAGCCGTGATTAATGAGGAAGCACTCCTGGTCCCCATCTAGGATGAGACTTCCTGGGGATGCTGACTTTGCTGGAGGAATCTGCAGTCAGAATCCAACTGGAGCTATTTATAGTTCAGGCTCCGCTGGGGTTGGGAGGAAGGTGCCCATCCTCCTCCCTCCCCCCACCACGTCATGATGGAACATAGGGGTGGAAATACTTATGGAGGAAGGATTTTTAAAGGAGTAAATCTTACACGTGTGCATTCATATTAACTCACATGAACTTTCATTCCCTCGACGTATATTTATTGAATGCCTACTAAGCGCCGGGCTCCAGGCCAGTGGATACGGCTGCGTCTCTGATTAAGATGAGATGGCCCCTGTTCTGGTAGAGTTTTCACTCCAGGGGAAGAGTCCTTACCCAGGAAGTCTACAAGTACGTGTGCAATTGGAAACAGAGGCAAGAGCTCGGCAGGCGTGGCCCCTGTCTCCGTGCCAGTGTGGAAGAAAGGATGCAATACACCCACATCACAGCGCTGACAGCAAATCACTGCCACTCTCACCTTCAGTGAGGAAACAGCCTCGGGCATATTCAGGGAGTCAAAGGCCCACAAATAGCGTACGGCAGGGTCCAGATTCAAACCAGTCTGGCTTCCCAAACCCATTTCCTCTTCTTCCCGGGCACACAGCCGGATGACATTTCCCAGTCTCCCTTAGGGTTGCACATAGGCATGTGACTGAGTCCCAGCCGATGGAATGAGAGGAGGGATGTGTGCCGCTCCCAGGGGTGGCCCACACCAAACCCCCACGCACTGCCCTCCGGGCTCTGGCTGATGGAATCCAGGCTGACCCTGGATTGAAGGGGCAGAGTCCCATCAACCTAGATCCCCAAATGGCTTTGCAGAGCAGGCCCTCCCCGGACCCCGCCACCACGTGGACTTCATGTGAGAAGAAATAAACTTCATTATGCCGAGCCCCTGGGTGTCAGGGTTTCCCTGTTACAGCAGCCAGCATCGCCTAAACTAACAGAGCAGATCTGCCTGCTCCAAACACCGTATCGACTGCCGCTTAGAAACAGTCGGTGACCCCTGGAACATTTTGTGAATGGTCACCACTGGGGGTGAAGGGCAAAGACACTCAACGTCCTTCTCAGTCAGGCCTTGCTCACAGAATCGCTGCAAGTCAGCCCTGAAACGCCCCCAGCCCTGGTCCTACCTCCTCACCCCTCTTGTGCTGGAACCAAGGGGGTCCATCCTTGCACTAGCTGGACCAAAAACTTAAAAACCACCTGCAAACTGGCAGCAGTTCAAAGAGGGAAGGGCGTGCAGAGGAGGAACCTGAGTCAGTGAGCAGCTCAGGGGCTGCCGAATCGGCCAACCCGGAGCCACCTGACGTCCAGACGTCTCAACATCCCAGCTAACAGCTTGTCCTCATTGTTTAAGGCGATTTTAATTGAGGTTTTGTTGTTTGTAGCAAAAGGCTTTCTGACTCCTCTAGGAGACCAAACACACAACATCTCTGGGATTCTGTTTCCTCAGCTGTAAAATGGGAACATCATTCTTGTTCTTCAATGAGGATTTCTGGTAATGAGACAATCGGAATAACCAAGCCCGCCTTGCAAGATTTTTGTGGGGACCACACGAGCCTGCCCTTTACAGAGCTATTCATGTTGAAGAGCCGTTTGCAAAGCTGCTGCTCTCCCTTTGGAGCTGCCAGTGCCCACAGAGTTTATTTTCCTCAAGAGTTTTCACACCTTTAGTAGATACCAAACTCTCCGCTTATGTGAAATGATACTCAACAGACAGTCTCTGTCCCATGTGGACATAACAGGATGACAGTTGTGCTGTTTCCAAGCCCAGCAGGTTTCTAAGGAGGCTGGTCAAGAGGCAGCCTTGTCCAGCTTTGTCCTGCTAAGTTCCACAAGGAGATGGGTTACGTGCGTCTGTGAAAGCTGCCCTGATCGTCCTATTCAAGGAGAGGAATTTATGGGAATTGATATGAGAGAAGTAGAAAGAGGGAGCAGTCGAATGCTGTGCACCATGGGTGTGATCCCGTCCCCAGCTGTGATGGTGAATTTAATGTGTCAATTTGACTGGGCTGGGGGATGCCCAGAGAGCAGGTAAAACACTGTTTCTGGATGTGTCTGTGAAGGGGTTTCTGGAAGAGACCAGCATTTGTATCAGCAGACTGAATAAAGAAGATGGCCCTCACCAGTGGGGGTGGGCCTCATTCCATCTGTTGAAGGCCTGAATAGACCACAAAGGTGGAGGAAGCGTGAATTTGCTCTGCTTGTGCTGGGACATCCATCTTCTCCTCTCGGACATCATGCTCCTGGTTCTGGGGCCTTCAGACTCGGACCAGGACTTACACTGTCAGCTACCCTTGGTCTCAGGCCTCCGGGTTTGGACTGGAGCTACCCGACCAGCTTTCCTGGGCCTCCAGCCTGCAGACAGCAGATTGCGGGACATCTCAGCCTCCATAATCCTGTGAGCCAATCGCTCATAATAAATCTTTTTCTGTAAATCTGTATCTATCCTATTGGTTCTGCTTCTCTGGAGAACCCTGACTAAGACACTAGCACCCCAAGACTTCAGTAAAATGAACCCATCCCCTCAATTCCTGGTAAGAGTTGCAAACAAGGGGCTGACTTTCTGAACTTTGTGGCAAGGAGGCCATGTGTAAGGACAGATGCAGAACTCAAAGGCGCCAGAGTGTTGGAGGCAGAGAGGCCCAGAGAGGAGCAGTAACTTCCCCAAGGTCACACAGCACTTAAGGACAAAGCAGGGATTCGAACGCAGCGTGCTTGCTTCCAGTGCAGTGCCTTTCACACGCAATAGCTGCTGTGTCCTCGGTCACCCCGACACTCCTGCCACCCACTTTCCTTCCCTGCTTCCCAGCCTTGTCCCCAGGGAGGTCTCTTATCCCAGTGTTTGGGAACTGAGAGCCCACAGGGCCAGGAGACTAGGTGAGGCTGAGCCCTGTTTGGTGCCCAGAATCTGTGTGGGGGTGCACAGGGCGCCTGCATGCACACACATGTTCACACACTCCTGCTGGGCTGCTCTCCCTGATCCCCTTGGAACTGTCCGAGGTGCTGGCCCTGCCCTGGGAACCCCCCTGGAATGAACTCCACTCTGAGCTCCACCGCGCTGCTCCAGGTACAGGGTTTTCCCATGACAGCTCCCTTTCTCCTTAAGCAGCTCCAGCTCTTGCTTTCTGGACAGGTGAGGCTGGCCGTGGGCTTGAGAATGATGATTGTAAGACCCCTGTCTCAGGTCAGGATCCTCCAGAGGCAGACCCTGAGACCAGCATCTGAGAAGAAGTGGTTTATCCGGGAGGCGGTCCCAGGTAAGGTGCCAGGTGTAGGAGAGTGACACAGGGAAGGGAAGATAGTTGATAGCGTCCAGTCACGAGCTAGGAACCCCCGTGGGCAATGGGTTCAATCCACTGGGAACCTCTAGGAGATGGGGTAGGACAAGCCTCAGAATTGTCCCAGTGGAAGGGCAAGGGAGTTGGGGAGCCAGCGTATTTATCCACCAACTCCCATCCTCCTTGGCCAGGGGCTGCTCCCCAGGATGCTGACCGTCAGCACTTCCGGCCCTCCCCACACGCTGTCTGAGGGAACGCCTCTGTCAGAAAGGGAGTAAGACTCCACGGGTGGAACCAGGATCTGGAGAACACACAGGTGGAGCACCCACAGCATCTGCTCAGCTCCCATCCATCCTTCCACACCTGCCAGCCTGGACCTCCCTGAAGGACCGTCCACCCACCCTCTTAAAGGCCGTGTGGTTTCCAACAACACGCATAACCCCTGAAGCCTCAGTTCCCTTCTCTGTAACATGGGGTTAACGGGGCTCGGGCCACACAGTTGTAGTGAAGGTTGGGTAAGATAATGTGTGCATCACTTCTAGCACAGTCCCTGGCGCTCAGTAAACACCTGAAAAATGTTGCCCATCCCCCAGGCTGTCACACACGGCTGTGGAGTTTGACCCCTGTGCCCGGGCACTAGCCATCAAAGTGTCCAGTGCAGCTGGAGTCAGGCCTGGGTTCCATCCCCAAGCCATGCACCTCGATGGGGCTGCATTGGCTCAGAAGGAGGAACACCTCTTTCTCATTGGCCACCCAAAGTGGACACCTGTTAGTCACCTATTTGCCTTGAGATGGTGCCTTTTTCTAATCCTCACAAGGGTGGTATATGGGCTGCCAGTGGCCCTGATTCTTATTATTGGAGTTATTATTACTGCTCCTATTACAGGCTAATTAATTCACAGAAGGTGTCCATTAAAGCACAAGAAATGGAGGCCAGTGTTTCAGTAACTGTTTTGCCTGACCAGAGGCATTTCTCTAGCAGGTTAGGACAATTTAAGAAATTATTTTGGTCAAGGACTGTCCACCCCTCTACATGGCAGGGATCACGGCAGATCCCCCTACCTCACGGCCCTGAAGGAGCAAAGGGGACAGCTGGCTGTGGGGGCGCTTGGGTCTGTGAGCTGTGTGCCATCCACAACCAGTTGGACAAAGAGAAAGGTGATTTAATGAACTGCCAAGGAAATACTTTACCCACAACTTCCGTTCTCTTCTGGCTCTGCGCCCTTGGTTCCCAGGGGGCCTAGATGCGATCCTTCAAACTCCTTGGAAAAGATCTATACAACGGAAGAGAGAGAAAGGAAGACATGAGAGGGAGCTGATCAACATTGTCACTGTGCCAACTTCTCCCCTGTTCCAGCTCGCCATCCTGAGGGCTCCATCTATACCCATTCCTGCTCTGTAGAACCCAGCCGAGCCCCGCACACACGGTCCTTCTGCTCTCCTTGGTCATTAAGTGCTCATCAGTCCTTTCCCATGGACCAAGGGCCCCCGCTCCACTCCTCCAATCTCTTTATGTTCACCCTGAGCCTCCTCAAAATCCCTGTGCTCATTGTTCAAGGATTCAGACAGACCATATTACCTCTGCAAACAGCATAAGTTTCCTTTTTTGCCAGCCTGAGGCCTTGAGTGTGTCTGGAGTTCAAAACTTATTCTGTTTTGCAGTTGAACGAGACCTTCTCAATTTTCTTCCCCGGACCCCCAAAAGTCCTCATGAAGCCATCTCCCTGAAATCCCGTCATGAGAGCTTCCTGGAGTTCCCCGCACTGTGCACACGGAGATGTGCCTCCCTGCCCTCCAGCAGCAGCCCCAGCTCTGCACCGCCAAGGAGACCGGAGCGCTAAGGAGGAAGCACAGTGCTCACCCGGGGGGACTCACGCTGTCCTCACGGAACTACCCGCCTGCTGCTGTCCTCAGCCAAAACTCCTGCTCTGTCCCTGGCAGGCTGGCTGGAACAGCTTCCACCGTTGGTCCAGCACAACTAAATAGGGCATCAGGGCAGGGCTGAGCCCCTCCCTGCCAACCACCCACCCCACAGACCAGCCCCCCTTCGCCCATCCCCTGTAGTCTCCACATTCTCCCCTGCCTTGAGCGGAACATCCGAGAGCCCAGTTCAAACACAGATGCTGCCTGGCTGGAACGCTGTTCATATATACACGCTCACACACACTGCACACGAGACCAGGAACACAGACAAATCACCAAAGCTCTAATCATAGGCGAAGCAAAAGAATTATATAAGCTTGCACACACACACACACACGCCACTTGCACACACGTGTATTTATCCCTTCGCCCATGTACATACACATGACCATGAATACACATATCTGCACATGTTCCCAGATACCCACCCGCACGCACAGAGATGCACAAATACAAATGCAAGACACGTGTGGTAACTCACCCACACGTGTGCACACGCATGCATAGGGCTGCACACACATGCACATAATACACATGTGAAAGCACATAGACACACACCCAGGTGCACACACACATACACATCCTGGGCACACGATACCCACCCACACTGAAGCGCAGCTCTGAAAGCCCAGACTGAGAGGGAGTCCTGATCCATTCCGGCTGGGAGGCTGCGGATGTTCCAGTGGAGTCACGGTAATTAGCTCTTTAATTAAAGTCCTCTCACCACTCTCTGGCCACGAGGCCCTGCACACCACCACCTGGCTTGGATCCTGAGCCTGTCGGAGGCTGCAGATGGGCCAGGCCAACACTGCCCAGAGGCTCGGTCTGGGTGGTAATTAGGGATGGGGACTCAGCTGAAGAACTCACAGCCAACCAACCGTCTCATTTTTCTCTTCCAGGTGAAATGGGCCTGCCAGCTCTCGGCTCTTCCTCTCCGTGTCCTAATTATGCCTCTGGCTCTGGCTCCCCTCTGTGCCCTGCCATATTCCACATCCCCAACACACACACACATTCACACACACACACACACACACCATGGAGGGCCGATGTGAAGGCCCCAGGCCAGCACAGGCCTGCAGCTTCCATCACAGCCTGGCCCAGGGCCAAGATGGGAACAAGCATACGAGCCTCAGCCCCACCCTCAGCCACCTCCCCAGTCCCACCCGGAGCCCATCCCACTCAAAGGGGGGCCCCTGGACAGCACCTCCCTCCACAACACCTCCAGGCAGGCCCTTTGCCTCCAACCTGTCCACCCGGGTTTGCTAGGGCTGCCATAGCAGGTGTCCCAGCCTGGGGGCGTAAACAACAGAAATTTGTCCCTCACTGTTCTGGAGGCCAGAGGACCAAGATCAAGGCGTTGGCAGGGCCGGTTCCTTCCGAGGGCTGTAAGGGAGAATCTGTTCCAGGCCTGGCCCCTCACTTCTGGAGGTTTGCCGGCAACCTTTGATGGTCCTCAGCTTCCTTGTGGAACAATCACCCCAATCTCTGCCCCGATCTTCACATGGCGTTCTCTCTGTGTGCACATCCGTCTCCAAATTTCCCTTTTCATAAGGACACTAGTCAATGGATTAGGGTCCACCCTAATGACTTTGTTTTAACTTGATTATCTCCGTAAAGACCTATTTCCAAATAAGGTCACATACTAAGGTACTGGGGGCTAGGACCTCAACATGTGAATTTGGGGGTGGGGGGATACCATTCAGCCCCTCACACTGCCCTGTGGTTAGTACACACGCTCACACCTGTGACCCAGCCGCGTGACCTTCCTGCCTCACATTACTGTACCAACTCAGGTAGAAGTGGTCCTGGCCAGCAGTGGGTTAATGGTTGATGCATTATTCATCGCTTTCCACCCCTTCGCTCACTCACTCACTGGGTCGGTGGGTATTTACTGAGCACCTTCTATGTGCCAGCACTGTCCTGGATGCTGGAGATAAATAAACAAGGGCAATAAACAAGCGAGCATGCAGGAAGGATGATTCCAGTGAGGGTGAAACGTTCCAGAGGGTGTAAACAGGAGGGAAGATGGAGAAGGGGGCAGGGGGATGATTTAGGATTGGGGAGTCAGAGAAGGTTTTTCTGAGGAGATGTTTCAGCTGACGCCTGAGCATGGAAGGGAGCCCACTGTGCAAGAGTGTTCAAGGAAGAACATTCTAGGCCGAGGGGACAGCAAGCCTGAAAATGCTGAGTCCAAAGAGATTTCATCGTATCCTGGGAAGAGAAAGGGGTCGGGGGGCTGCTCTGTCCTGAGAACCAGAAGAAGCCCCCTTCTGAGGCAGGAAAGGTGTGAGTACCCCCTGAGGTGGCAAAGCCCATGGGATGGGATGAGATGGGAGGGCTGGCAAGGACAGGATCATGAGGGGCCTTGCGGGCCACAGTGAGGAGTCTGGATTTGATCCCGAGAGCAGAGTAGGGCAAAGTGACCCCACTGTGTGCTGGCTTTCCCGTGGAGGCTGCACTGGAAGGGGCCAGGGTGGAAGCGAGGAGAACATAGCCATTTTGCAGGGCCCAGGAGCTCAATCCAGCTGAGCCACCTGAGCAGGTGCCTGAGTCATGGTGAGGTCACACTCCACGTCGCCCAGTACATTTTAAACAGAATGTGCCATGGATTGTGGTGGTCGTATGAGTACATTCCAAACCCATTACTTTGAAGGCTGATCAACTTTCAGCCTTGTACCTGTAAGAAATTTTTTAACTTGGCATTGTGGCAACTTGCTGGTCTTCAGTTTGGACCCTCATGAGCCCCCGAGACTCGGGAGTCCACACGAATTTCTGGGAGTTCCACAGTGCAGATGTGGAGCATGCAAACTGGCCAGCAATCTCCAACCCCAGGCCAGAAATAGCAGGGCTGGCCAGCACCTTTCCTCCATCAGACGAGGGCCCTTTCTGATTTGCAGATCTCACCAAGCTTCTTCCCACCTCAGCAACGCCGCACCTGCTGATGCCAAAGCCAGAACACTCTTCCTTTGGCTCTCCCACAGCTGGTTCCTCCTCTTCCTCCTCCTTACGTCAGCCACTCGGAGAGGCTGAAGCTGGTCCTTCCCTAGTCACCCCGTCTAAAGGTGGTCCCCTCCGTTATTCTCTGCTACAGCCACCTGCATAGCATTTATCATAATTATTTCACTGGTTCATACCTATTTGTCTGAGTTCTCGCACTCAATATAAATTCCCTGAGGCTGGCCATATATCTGTCTTTTTGGAGGGAGGGAAGGAAGGGGAGGGAGGCGAGATATTTGGTGCTGGAGGTTCCCTGGACTGGAGCAGGGCTCTCAACCTCAGCACTACTGTCATTTCGAACTGAATTAATTCTTTGTTTTGGGGGAGTTGTCTGGTGCCTTGTAAGATGTTCAGCACCATCCCTGGTCTCTACCCAGTAGATACCACTGCCCACGAACTGTCACAACCCAAAATGTCTCCAGATATTGCCAAATGTGCCCTGGGGGGCAAAATTCCCTCTGGTTGAGAACCGTTGGTCTAGAGGTTTTCAACAATTGAACTCTTATTCAAACATAATTTTACATAGAAGCCCAATATATGAAGCACATCCCAT